GACGTTAGGAACAGGACCAAGATCCAGGCTCTCTGAAAGCCTCCCTCTGGGCTCCAGACCTTAGGAACAGGACCAGATCCAGGGCTCTCTGAAAGCCTCCCTCTGGGCTCCAGACGTCAGGAACAGGACCAGATCCAGGGCTGCTCTGAAAGCCTCCCTCTGGGCTGCAGACGTTAGGAACAGGACAGATCCAAGGCTCTCTGAAAGCCTCCCTCTGGGCTGCCAGACGTTAGGAACAGGACCAGATCAGGGCTCTCTGAAAGCCTCCCTCTGGCTCAGACGTTAGGAACAGGACCAGATCCAGGCTCTGAAAGCCTCCCTCTGGGCTCCAGACGTTAGGAACAGGACCAGATCCAGGGCTCTCTGAAAGCCTCCCTCTGGGCTGCAGACGTTTAGGAACAGGACCAGATCCAGGCTCTCTGAAGCCTCCCTCTGGGCTGCAGGACGTTAGGAACAGGACCAGATCCAAGGCTCTCTGAAAGCCTCCCTCTGGGCTCCAGACGTTAGGAACAGGACCAGATCCAAGGCTCTCTGAAAGCCTCCCTCTGGGCTCCAGACGTTAGGAACAGGACCAGATCCAAGGCTCTCTGAAAGCCTCCCTCTGGGCTCCAGACGTTAGGAACAGGACCAGATCCAAGGCTTCTGAAAGCCTCCCTCTGGGCGCCAGACGTTAGGAACAGGACCAGATCCAAGGCTCTCTGAAAGCCTCCCTCTGGGCTCCAGACGTTAGGAACAGGACCAGATCCAAGGCTCTCTGAAAGCCTCCCTCTGGGCTGCAGACGTTAGGAACAGGACCAGATCCAAGGCTCTCTGAAAGCCCCCTCGGGCTCCGACGTTAGGAACAGGACCAGGTCCAGGGCTCTCTGAAAGCCTCCCTGGGCTCCAGACGTTAGGAACAGGACCAGATCCAAGGCTCTCTGAAAGCCTCCCTCTGGGCTCCAGACGTTAGGAACAGGACCAGATCCAGGCTCTCTGAAAGCCTCCCTCTGGGCTCCAGACGTTAGGAACAGGACCAGATCCAGGGCTCTCAAAGCCCCCTCTGGGTCTCCAGACGTTAGGAACAGGACCAGATCCAGGGCTCTCTGAAAGCCTCCCTCTGGGCTCCAGACGTCAGGAACAGGACCAGATCCAAGGCTCTCTGAAAGCCTCCCTCTGGGCTCCAGACGTTAGGAACAGAACCAGATCCAGGGCTCTCTGAAAGCCTCCCTCTGGGCTCCAGACGTTAGGAACAGGACCAGATCAGGCTCTCTGAAAGCCTCCCTCTGGGCTCCAGACGTTAGGAACAGGACCAGATCCAGGGCTCTCTGAAAGCCTCCCTCTGGGCTCCAGACGTTAGGAACAGGACCAGATCCAGGTTTCTCTGAAAGCCCCCCTCTGGGCTCCAGACGTTAGGAACAGGACCAGATCCAGGGCTCTCTGAAAGCCTCCCTCTGGGCTCCAGACGTTAGGAACAGGACCAGATCCAAGGCTCTCTGAAAGCCTCCCTCTGGGCTCCAGACGTCAGGAACAGGACCAGATCCAAGGCTCTCTGAAAGCCTCCCTCTGGGCTCCAGACGTCAGGAACAGGACCAGATCCAGGGCTCTCTGAAAGCCTCCCTCTGGGCTCCAGACGTTAGGAACAGGACCAGATCCAGGGCTCTCTGAAAGCCTCCCTCTGGGCTCCAGACGTTAGGAACAGGACCAGATCCAAGGCTCTCTGAAAGCCTCCCTCTGGGCTCCAGACGTTAGGAACAGGACCAGATCCAGGGCTCTCTGAAAGCCTCCCTCTGGGCTCCAGACGTTAGGAACAGGACCAGATCCAGGGCTCTCTGAAAGCCTCCCTCTGGGCTCCAGACGTTAGGAACAGGACCAGATCCAGGGCTCTCTGAAAGCCTCCCTCTGGGCTCCAGACGTTAGGAACAGGACCAGATCCAGGGCTCTCTGAAAGCCTCCCTCTGGGCTCCAGACGTTAGGAACAGGACCAGATCCAGGGCTCTCTTGTCCTACAGTACGCAGGGTTAGAGTAGAAATGGCAAAGAACATCTGATTTAAAGAGGATTTTAGTTAATGGAAGAAATGCGAGAGAAGACCCTCTGACTCTAATCCAGAGAAGACCCTCCAGAGAAGTCCCTCTGACTCTAATCCAGAGAAGACCCTCTGACTCTAATCCAGAGAAGACCCTCTGACTCTAATCCAGAGAAGACCCTCTGATTCTAATCCAGAGAAGACCCTCTGACTCAAATCCAGAGAAGTCCCTCCGACTCTAATCCAGAGAAGAGCCTCCAGAGAAGACCCTCTGACTCTAATCCAGAGAAGTCCTTCTGACTCTAATCCAGAGAAGACCCTCTGACTCTAATCCAGAGAAGTCCCTCTGACTCTAATCCAGAGAAGACCCTCTGACTCTAATCCAGAGAAGACCCTCTGACTCTAATCCAGAGAAGTCCTTCTGACTCTAATCCAGAGAAGACCCTCTGACTCTAATCCAGAGAAGTCCCTCTGACTCTAATCCAGAGAAGACCCTCTGACTCTAATCCAGAGAAGACCCTCTGACTCTAATCCAGAGAAGACCCTCTGACTCTAATCCAGAGAAGTCCCTCTGACTCTAATCCAGAGAAGACCCTCTGACTCTAATCCAGAGAAGACCCTCTGACTCTAATCCAGAGAAGTCCCTCTGACTCTAATCCAGAGAAGTCCCTCTGACTCTAATCCAGAGAAGTCCCTCTGACTCTAATCCAGAGAAGACCCTCTGACTCTAATCCAGAGAAGACCCTCTGACTCTAATCCAGAGAAGACCCTCTGACTGTCAGAAGGACAAAGACCTGGTTACAGAATCCATCCCCTGTCATCAGGCTGCATGGATATCTAACATTACGTCTGTGTAATGAGTGAACTACATGTTAGCTGTAACTAGCGAGGTTCAGGTGTCTCCAGTGTGAGTGGTCTCACTCTCGGCTAGGAGTCACTGAGCTGAAGACTCAGTCATCATATCATCAGATACATGTCGTACTAACCCTGTGAACAGAGAGCTAAACCACATCAGCGCACATTCCTAATATGTACACAAGCTAGTAGCACATTGGGAATATAAATGGTTAATTTCTATCCTGTACTCTATTTTACTTAATAGTAATGGGAGGCGTGTGGTGCAGTGGGTTGTGTGTTGGTGTTGGGATCAGGGGTCACAGGTTCAAGCCCCACTGCAGGTTCAAACCCCACTGCAGTCAGCATGTCGTTGTGTCCCTGAGACCCTTCACCCCAAAGTGCTCCTGTGGGATTGTCCACAGTGTTGAGGATGTGATTTAAAAACATAACATTTCAGAAGATTGCAATATAAAAGATAATAGTCGTTTTATGATGTATCTGCGTTCAGGTGAGTTTACCTGCTCTGCTCTCTGAGATCTGCTGACTCACATCTGCTCTCTGAGATCTGCTGACTCACATCTGCTCTCTGAGATCTGCTGACTCACATCTGCTCTCTGAGATCTGCTGACTCACATCTGCTCTCTGAGATCTGCTGACTCACATCTGCTCTCTGAGAGATCTGCTGACTCACATCTGCTCTCTGAGATCTGCTGACTCACATCTGCTCTCTGAGAGATCTGCTGACTCACATCTGCTCTCTGAGATCTGCTGACTCACATCTGCTCTCTGAGATCTGCTGACTCACATCTGCTCTCTGAGATCTGCTGACTCACATCTGCTCTCTGAGATCTGCTGACTCACATCTGCTCTCTGAGATCTGCTGACTCACATCTGCTCTCTGAGATCTGCTGACTCACAATCTGCTCTCTGAGATCTGCTGACTCACATCTGCTCTCTGAGATCTGCTGACTCACATCTGCTCTCTGAGATCTGCTGACTCACATCTGCTCTCTGAGATCTGCTGACTCACATCTGCTCTCTGAGATCTGCTGACTCACATCTGCTCTCTGAGATCTGCTGACTCACATCTGCTATCTGAAGATCTGCTGACTCACATCTGCTCTCTGAGATCTGCTGACTCACATCTGCTCTCTGAGAGATCTGCTGACTCACATCTGCTCTCTGAGAGATCTGCTGACTCACATCTGCTCTCTGAGAGATCTGCTGACTCACATCTGCTCTCTGAGATCTGCTGACTCACATCTGCTCTCTGAGATCTGCTGACTCACATCTGCTCTCTGAGATCTGCTGACTCACATCTGCTCTCTGAGATCTGCTGACTCACATCTGCTCTCTGCCAGCTCACACAGAATCTGCTGAGTCACTGAAAAGAGTCAGAAAACGGCTTCCTCCGATGACTCAGCAGCAGGGACGGACTGGCGTGGGCCGGTACTGAAGTGGGCCGGTCTGAAGAGTCACTAGCGCCCCCCCCCCCGTTGACAATTTACTAGCGGTACCGAGGCGGGCCGGTCGGTCGTTTATATCCTGCACTGTACTGCGTTTATTATTTCTTATAAAACCTTAAACCCAATTTCATTGGAATGTTTAATATTCTTTTGATTTAATTTATCTTAATTTTTTTTGTCAGGATTTTCTTTGTAATACCATTTGTGTTGATTGACCTCAGCCCCCTGGTGGTTGTGTTGATTGACCTCAGCCCCCTGGTGGTTGTGTTGATTGACCTCAGCCCCCTGGTGGTTGTGTTGATTGACCTCAGCCCCCTGGTGGTTGTGTTGATTGACCTCAGCCCCCTGGGTGTGTGAGTGGCCCTGTGTTGTGACCTCAGCCCCCTGGTGTTGTGTTGATTGACCCTCAGCCCCCTGGTTGGTTGTGTTGATTGACCTCAGCCCCCTGATGGTTGTGTTGATTGACCTCAGCCCCCTGGTGGTTGTGTTGATTGACCTCAGCCCCCTGGTGGTTGTGTTGATTGACCTCAGCCCCCTGGTGGTTGTGTTGATTGACCTCAGCCCCCTGGTGGTTGTGTTTATTGACCTCAGCCCCCTGGTGGTTGTGTTGATTGACCTCAGCCCCCTGGTGGTTGTGTTTATACAATGTTCCAAACGTTCATTTGTGAAACTGGAAACAGATCAGGGTTTGGTTTAGTTTTTTATTCAAACAAACATTCAACTTTTATTTACGTTAAGAATAATATATAAATATAAATACAAACGCTCTCCAACATTCAAATATAAATCATAAAATCAATAATAATTAAAAAGAATGAAAAATAAATATAAAAACAAAAGCAATAATGAAATAATTTAAAAAACAATAAAAGTAATAATAACACTGAAACTCTCAGGGCTGGTAGAGGGGCAGTTGGTCACAGAATCCGCCCGGAAACAGGGCCTCGCTCTGGGCCTGAAGAAGCTGCTGCGCCTCCTGGAGGTCGGGGAGGAAACTGCACGCCTGCAGGTCAGTGTACGGCAGGGGGGAGGAGTCATATAGGGAGAGGGAGGGGCCATAGAGTGTGGAGGAGGAGTCATAGAGGGAGGGGGAGGAACCAAATAGGGAGGGGGAGGAGTTATATAGGGAGGGGGAGGAGCTACATGTGTTATAGATGGAGGGGGAGGGGTTATATAATGGGGGGGAGGAGCTACATAACTCCCACTGAGGCACCACGGCTCCGGTGGGGGACACAGCAGGGAGGTCATCGCTGCAATGCATCTTGGGAAGTTTGGGGCTGGACTCAGAGGAGGAAGAGGAGGAGGAGGAAGGTTTCTCTGAAGCGTCAGATTTCCTCTTCCTCTTACGCCGGAAGTTCCCGTTGTCGAACATTTTCTCACAGTTTGGATCCAGAGTCCAGTAGTTCCCTTTACCTGGAGAGGAGGAAGAGGAGGAGGGGGGGGGGGGGGGGAGGAGGAGGAGGAGGAAGAGGAGGAAGAGGAGGAAGAGAGGAGGAGATATTATAACCACTGTTTATTCTCTCTGTCAGAAAACACATCTCAACTTTCATCAAATGCTGTCAATTAATTCCTGTTTCCTGATAATCACAAGACATCACTACAGAACACTCGCGCTCCTATTGGCTAGCGCTCCAACACATTGCACCTGATAGGCTAAGGGGCGGGACATCACTACAGAACACTCGCGCTCCTATTGGCTAGCGCTCCAACACATTGCACCTGATAGGCTAAGGGGCAGGACATCACTACAGAACACTCGCGCTCCTATTGGCTAGCGCTCCAACACATTGCACCTGATAGGCTAAGGGGCGGGACATCACTACAGAACACTCGCGCTCCTATTGGCTAGCGCTCCAACACATTGCACCTGATAGGCTAAGGGGCGGGACATCACTACAGAACACTCGCGCTCCTATTGGCTAGCGCTCCAACACATTGCACCTGATAGGCTAAGGGGCAGGACATCACTACAGAACACTCGCGCTCCTATTGGCTAGCGCTCCAACACATTGCACCTGATAGGCTAAGGGGCGGGACATCACTACAGAACACTCGCGCTCCTATTGGCTAGCGCTCCAACACATTGCACCTGATAGGCTAAGGGGCGGGACATCACTACAGAACACTCGCGCTCCTATTGGCTAGCGCTCCAACACATTGCACCTGATAGGCTAAGGGGCGGGACATCACTACAGAACACTCACGCTCCTATTGGCTAGCGCTCCAACACATTGCACCTGATAGGCTAAGGGGCGGGACATCACTACAGAACACTCGCGCTCCTATTGGCTAGCGCTCCAACACATTGCACCTGATAGGCTAAGGGGCGGGACATCACTACAGAACACTCACGCTCCTATTGGCTAGCGCTCCAACACATTGCACCTGATAGGCTAAGGGGCGGGAAATCTCTAAGCTTGTTGACCATTTTATTCTAGATAAAGTTTAACTTCAGTTTTATATACTTTAAGTAAAGGTGTGTGTCTCACCTGGGTCACTGTGGCTCCGCCCCTCCTTCCGGAAGCAGTCGTTGAGTGACAGGTTGTGTCTGATGGAGTTCTGCCAGCCCGCCTTGTTCCGGCTGTAGAAGGGAAAGTGTTGGCAGACGAAGGCGTAGATTTCTCTCAGAGTGAGGCGCTGCTGAGGAGAACTCTGGATCGCCATCGCTATCAGAGCCGAGAACGAGAAGGGCGGTCGAACGCAGGGCAGCACGGAGAACCAGGGGCCCTGCAGGGGGTAGACGGGCGGCAGGAAGGGGGCGTCGCTGCTGGGGGGCCACGAGGAGGCCTCCGCGCTGTAGAGGCTACAATCTGACGGGTCCATGCCCAGAAAGGGGACCTGCTGCTGGGGGAGGGTTCCTCCAATCAGAAAGGAGGGGGAGGGGCCACACTCCAGGACGAAAGACGACATCATCGCCATCGATTTCTTCTTCTGAGAGTGTGAGAGAGTGTGTCCTGTAACTGTCTACTCACCTGAGCTCTTATACTCTCATTTTACTGTAGCCCCGCCCTCAGAGCAGCTGATTGGCTGCTGTCGCACACACACATATTAACATTTACATGCATAAGTGTAAGTGTGTGTGGTGGGGCTGATTTGAATAAAACAGGTTGTTGAATTCCTCCCCCGGGGCAGATTAGAGCCTGAGGATATAATGCTGAGATATGTCACACACACACACACACACACACACACACACACACACACACACACACACACACACACACTCATTCTCTGACTGTAAAGAGGGTAATACAGAACTTATTGACCTGCTGATTAAAAAACCTTCGAAAAAAGTCATCTTTGTGAGAAAAACATTCAAAATTCTGAAAGTCACATTTTAAGGAAAAAAGTCAGAAATCTTGGACAAAGTTTTGAGAAAAAATTCTGAAAGAAACGTCAAATTTCATGAAGTCATAATTTTTAGGAAAGAATTCCCATTCTGACTTTCTCCTGTTCTAAACAACACCCTGTGTGTGTGTGTGTGTGCGTGCGTGCATGTGTGTGTATGTGTGTGTGTGTGTGCGTGTCTGTGTATGTGTGCGTGCGTGTGTGTGTGTGCGTGCGTGTGTGTGTGTGTGTATGTGTGCGTGCGTGCATGTGTGTGTATGTGTGCGTGCATGTGTGTGTGCGTGTGTGTGTGTGTATGTGTGCGTGCGTGTGTGTGCGTGCGTGCGTGTGTGTGTGTGTGCGTGCGTGTGTGTGTGTGTGCGTGCGTGTGTGTGCGTGCGTGTGTGTGTGTGTGTGTGTGCATCCTGCAGAGACACTGTTTTATTATTTCCAGTTTTTATAATCCGAGACGAGACGCTGCTCTAACGTCTGAAACTGTAAGAAAGAAAAAGTGTGTGTGTGTGTGTGTGTGTGTGTGTGTGTGTGTGTGTGTGTGTGTGTGTGTGTGTGTGTGTGTGTGCAGACAGCGGTCTGACAGCTGCTGTTTGAGGTGTCGCCGTCTCTATTGTTGAGTGAAACCCAAAACACACGACACACTCTCTGATGTAAACGTCTTCAGATCAGAGAGCTGACGTCCTGTTGGTGGTTCACGTTCCTCTGACCCTCTCTCGTTCCTCTGACCCTCTCTCGTTCCTCTGACCCTCTCTCGTTCCTCTGACCCTCTCTCGTTCCTCTGACCCTCTCACGTTCCTCTGACCCTCTCACGTTCCTCTGACCCTCTGACCCTCTCTCGTTCCTCTGACGTTCCTCTGACCCTCTGACGTTCCTCTGACCCTCTCACGTTCCTCTGACCCTCTCTCGTTCCTCTGACCCTCTCACGTTCCTCTGACCCTCTGACGTTCCTCTGACCCTCTCACGTTCCTCTGACCCTCTGACCCTCTCTCGTTCCTCTGACCCTCTCTCGTTCCTCTGACCCTCTCACGTTCCTCTGACCCTCTCTCGTTCCTCTGACCCTCTCTCGTTCCTCTGACCCTCTCACGTTCCTCTGACCCTCTGACCCTCTGACGTTCCTCTGACCCTCTGACCCTCTGACGTTCCTCTGACCCTCTGACGTTCCTCTGACCCTCTCACGTTCCTCTGACCCTCTCACGTTCCTCTGACCCTCTGACGTTCCTCTGACCCTCTGACCCTCTGACGTTCCTCTGACCCTCTGACCCTCTCACGTTCCTCTGACCCTCTGACGTTCCTCTGACCCTCTCACGTTCCTCTGACCCTCTCACGTTCCTCTGACCCTCTGACGTTCCTCTGACCCTCTGACGTTCCTCTGACTCTCTCATGTTCCTCTGACCCTCTCACGTTCCTCTGACCCTCTGACGTTCCTCTGACCCTCTGACCCTCTGACGTTCCTCTGACCCTCTGACCCTCTGACGTTCCTCTGACCCTCTGACCCTCTCACGTTCCTCTGACCCTCTGACGTTCCTCTGACCCTCTGACCCTCTGACGTTCCTCTGACCCTCTGACCCTCTGACGTTCCTCTGACTCTCTCATGTTCCTCTGACTCTCTCACGTTCCTCTGACCCTCTGACGTTCCTCTGACCCTCTGACCCTCTGACGTTCCTCTGACCCTCTGACCCTCTCACTGTTCCTCTGACTCTCTCATGTTCCTCTGACTCTCTCATGTTCCTCTGACCCTCTGACGTTCCTCTGACGTTCCTCTGACGTTCCTCTGACGTTCCTCTGACGTTCCTCTGACGTTCCTCTGACGTTCCTCTGACCCTCTGACGTTCCTCTGACCCTCTCACGTTCCTCTGACCCTCTGACATTCCTCTGACATTCCTCTGACCCTCTGACCCTCTGACGTTCCTCTGACCCTCTGACGTTCCTCTGACCCCCTCACGTTCCTCTGACCCTCTGACCCTCTGACCCTCTGACCCTCTCACGTTCCTCTGACCCTCTGACGTTCCTCTGACCCTCTCACGTTCCTCTGACCCTCTTCTCGTTCTCTGCCCCTCACTGACCCTCTGACGTTCCTCTGACCCTCTCACGTTCCTCTGACCCTCTCTCGTTCCTCTGACCCTCTCACGTTCCTCTGACCCTCTCACGTTCCTCTGACCCTCTCTCGTTCCTCTGACCCTCTCTCGTTCCTCTGACCCTCTCTCGTTCCTCTGACCCTCTCACGTTCCTCTGACCCTCTCTCGTTCCTCTGACCCTCTCACGTTCCTCTGACCCTGACTCTGCTCTGGACTCCAGGACCGACTGGTTAGCAGCAGAAATATAAACATGTCCCTTCGTCTGCTCTCTACAGATACATTCAAACTGATTTGAGAAAAGTCTCTCAGATCTCCCGTGATGTTCAGCTCTCATTAGAAGTTTCAAAATACTAAAAAACATTAGAATTATAAACATTAGTGAAAGTACGATAATACCGGTTTCAAAATGACCTTAGATTACTAAAAGCTACATTTCACAATCTGGATTGATCAAAGCACGTCTGTTAGTATACAGTTACTTTCACCTGATATTTCTCAGAGGTGGGACCAAGTCATTGTTTTGCAAGTCAAAAGTAAGTCTCAAGTCTTTGCGCTCAAGTCACAAGTAAGTCTCAAGTCTATGGTGTAAGACTTGTAACTGTAACTCCACAGTTGCCTACACTCTTTTCGGGTTTGCTAACGGTAGCTACTTTAGCTTGATAGCTAGCCATGGCTTTTCCCCCACCCTCGGGTGCTATTTCCTGCTCTAACTGTCTCATGATTGGTTACTTCCCTACCTCCTTTACTGGTACCGGTACATGTGTTAAATGTAGTATAGTTGTTAGGTTGGAGGCGGGAATCATAGCCATAGAAGCCCGGCTCCGCATCTTAGAAAGTAACTCAGCTACAGTAAAGCCCATGTTAGCCGGTGCGGACCGGCAAAAGGTAGCTCCTATTAGCCGTCCCCCGGCAACTCCCGAGCAGCAGGGAGACTGGGTGACTGTTCAGAAGGGGCATAACGCGAAACCCGCAGGTCCCCACCAACCCGTTCACGTATCTAACAGATATTCCCCACTCAGCGAGACACCCGCTGAGAAGCCAACTCTGGTTATTGGTAGCTCTATTATGAGACACGTGAAATTAGAGACCGAAGCCTCCACAGTCACATGCATTCCGGGGGCCAGAGCGGGCGACGTTGAGGCGCATCTTAAACTGCTGGCTAAAAATAAACGTAAATACAGTAGGATTGTTATTCACGTCGGTGGTAATGATGTTCGTTTACGCCAATCAGAATGCACCAAACTTAATGTGGAGTCGGTGTGTAGTTATGCTGAAACAATGTCGGACACCGTAATCTTCTCTGGTCCCCTCCCCAATCTGATCAATGATGACATGTATAGCCGCATGTCATCATTTCAGCGCTGGTTGTCTTGGTGGTTCCCAGCAAACAATGTGAGCTTCGTAAATAATTGGACAGCCTTCTGGGGAAAACCTGGTCTGATTAAGAGAGACGGCATTCATCCTACTTTGGAAGGTGCCGATCTCATTTCGGCAAACATTTCAGGGCTTTGTGGACTTAATCCATGACAAACTGGAGTTGAGACCAGGAGGCGGAGTCGCAGTCTTACACGCTTCTCTGCGCTCTCTCCTAGGCAGTCATCCATAGGAATCCCGAACCCAATAAAATACCCAATATTAGCGGTGTGTGTGTCTGCCCAAGGACAAGTTAAGGTAAAACCTAATAGAGGTGTCATACATAATAACCTAATAAAAGTAAATGTAACAACTACTACAGTGCAACAAAACAGGAAGATTAAATGTGGTCTCTTAAACATAAGATCTCTAGCATCTAAAGCAATATTGGTAAATGATTTAATATCAGATTATAATATTGATATATGCTGTCTCACTGAAACTTGGTTGAGACATGAAGAATATGTCAGCATAAATGAGGCCACTCCACCCAGCCATATCAATACTCATATTGCCCGAGGCACGGGCCGAGGAGGTGGAGTTGCAGCAATCTTTGACTCAAGTTTACTTATCAATACTAAACCAAAATTAAATGATACCTCCTTTGAAAGTCTCGTTTTTAGTCTTACGCATCCGACCTGGAACACTTTGCAGCCAATCTTATTTGTTACAGTGTACCGTGCACCAGGTCCTTATTCAGAATTCTTATCAGAATTCTCTGAGTTTTTATCAACTTTGGTTCTTAAAACAGATAAAGTAATTATCGTAGGTGACTTTAATATTCATGTTGACGATGATAAAAATAGCCTTACTGTTGCATTTAACTCTATATTAGATTCTGTTGGTTTCTGTCAGAGTGTAAATAAACCAACCCACTGCTATAATCACACTCTCGACCTTGTTCTGACTTATGGTACTGAAATTGAGCAACTATTAGTCGAACCGCATAATCCTGCTTTATCCGACCATTTCTTAGTAACTTTTGAAGTACTGTTACGAGACTACAAAGCATTAGTCAAAAGCTCCTGCAGCAGAAACCTATCTGTTAGTGCTATAGCCACATTTAAGGAAGAGATTCCACCAATACTTAACTCGATAGCATGTCTGCATGTAAGGGAGGAAACTTATACAAAATGTACACCACCCCAAATTGATCATGTTGTTGATAGTGCTACAGATGCGCTGCGAATAAAATTAGACTCTGTTGCTCCTTTGAAAAAGAAGAAAATAAAACAACATAGATTAGCTCCATGGCATAATGCCCAAACCTGCAAAATAAAGCAAAAGTCGAGACAACTTGAAAGGATATGGCGTTCCACTAAACTTGAAGAATCTCGTTTAATTTGTCATATTACTCTCAATGAATATAAGAAAGCACTGCGTAAAGC